TATCTTGAGAGATTCTTAAAATAAAAAATAGAGCTGGAATCTAACTAAAAGGTATACTGTTGGTGCTAACTCTTGCTGGTAATATATATTATGTCAGTTCTTGTATGTGAAGTCCCTGAACTGCTAATAAAAATATTTAAAACACAGGTCTACAACAAATTGTGTTGCAAATCAGGTTATCATTATCTTGTATAAACCATGAAAATTGGAATCATGTGAGCAGAAGGTTAGATTAATTCTCCATTCTCATTATAAGCACAGGTGTAGCACAAACACCATGTGAAATAACCAATTAAAATGAAAAAAAAAATCTGCTTTTTCATTAGCTGCCTTCACTGCATGACCAATTAGAAAATTATTTAATATTAATATTCTGCATATACTAAAAGTAATTTTCATAGCAACTAACATAGGTAAGAGAGCAAAAAGACATCTCTTTATCTATGGTACTATTTATAATCTGCAGACTCTTAGAGGGAAAGAACTCTGTCTATTAACTTTCTTTCTCAAGCCCTTTTAAAACATAATATTTTATAGATATGATTTATACTACTTACCTAAAAATAGGAAGAGACATTTTTAACAGATGAGAAGCCTAGGCTCAGAGAAATTAAATGACTTATGTGAGGTCACATGTTACCAAAGAGATGTTAATAATTTGCTGAATGACACACAGCTGGCAAGTGGCAGCAAACACTCTCCTCTCTAATGCTGTGACTAGAGCATGGCCACTACTGTGCCACCCATCTAGAAAATTCCATACCAAATAGATATCTAAACATTAGCTGGTTTTCAGCCAATTACCACTGGCAGCAACCCCAATGTTTAGTCAAGGAATAAGCATGGCTGTGGACATTTTATAGATTGTGAGTTTTGATGGCTGCACTGCTTATGTATGGAGACAAAGATAAGGCTATTCAAACAAAAACAAAAAACAAAGATTCAGTGCCTCAATTTATCTATATTCCAAAGCTTGCCTCCTTCACACTCATACATTCAGATTCCCATAGACAAATTCATAACAACCAACTCAGGTTTGAGTCCATGGCTATTAAACCCATGGATTCCTTAAAAAAATGACACTTCAGATTTGGAAAAGGGCTTTAACAGTTACCTCATTTGGTCATTGACATGAATCCCTTTCTATGAAATCCCCACCAAGTAGCTGGGTCGCCTCTGCTAGACTGTCCTAGTACAGTACTCACCATCTTACCTGAGAGTCCACTCCGTAAACAAACAAGACCAGTTGTTAAAAGGCTCTGTTTTACTTCATCTAAAATCCTTTCACCAGTACAACTCCTCTGGGGTAATTTAAACCATTCTAATCTTACTTCCTTAGGACAGCCTTTCAAATATTTAAACATGACCATTTTGTCCTGTAGGCTTCTCTCTTCTCCCTAGGTTAAACATCAGTGGTTCTTAAAAAGTTACTTCTAGAGAATGGGAGTCCTTCTAAGATCTTGAGCCCTCTCATCACCTGGGCCCCTCTCTGCTCAGTATGCTAAGCTTTGTCTGTGTTCCTCTTAAGGTTTGCAATGGACAACACTAACTACATTTATTCCAGGCCTGTCCTTGTCCCTATGTAGAAAGCAAATACACACAGAAAATACCACAGCCTCTTAGCTAAGTACTCACAGGTACTAGGCGTTATTTGCTTCTTTTGTGGTGGCAAGAACTATTTGTTGTCATTGATAACACAGATGTAATCTATCCAAAGACTATGTAGATATCAAGGTGGAAATACTTTCATTAAAAAACAAAAAACAAAACAGAAACACTGAAAACCTAATCACTTTTTCTGAACTGTTTGACCACATTAGTAAGTCTACTTGAAACTTTTGAAACATTTAATTTTAAAAAATCAATATAATGAAATATGATCGATACATATAGGACATAGTAATCTCTCAAAATGTTACTGAATTACAATTCCTATACTTACATGAACAATTTTCATTATTTGGAATCACAGTAGACATCTTGATCTGGAAATAACTAAGTAAATAATGAAATATATTTTTTTTTTAAAACAGCATCACCTTTTTGATCTTAAAACTATCTCCACATTTGATTCTCCTGAGTGTGTTTTATCATCATCTCAGACTCTCTTATATGTTCTCTCTCTTTAGAATTATGCTTCATACAACAGAGCCATGTGTTTAGATGGCTTCAGGGTAAATTCAAATACAAAAACATTTTCCTTCTGGGCAAAGTAATAAAATGAAATTCTTGCTCCTCCCACTATAAGTCAAACTGAGGTCAGTTCCCCCATCCCTCTATCTGTTTAAATAAACTGGTCCAGCTGTTTGTTTCTAAAATGCCCTTTGACCTTGTGTCTCATCCTCCTTGCTTTTGTGACAGAACACTTTGCTTTTCATTGTAAAAGAGTCTAAATTATCAGGAATTTTCTAAACACCAAACCAAAAAAAAAAAATCTTTAGATTTGATGTGAACTTAAATGAACATATTCCTTTTTTAAAATAGTCATTTAAGAGGTATAAGTAAAATAGTTATGTTTTTATATATGTGTGTCTGTGCATGCAAATATATATCTATATTTACATATGAACACATAAATATATATTAGAACTTGAACATAGAATAGTATTTTTGAAGAGAAATAAAAAAGAATGACAAAATTCCAATTAGAATGTACACTAAAAAATACATTCTCTAATAGCCACAAAATAGTTTAAGATAAAATATATCCCTGAAATGCACACAATCTTAGGATTTTCCATACTGATAAGGTCTCTTTAAAAGTTTGTTTAAAGATGTAAGAGAATACTTGGCAATTTTACAAATAACATCCAAAATTATAGCCCTTAAAACTTATATGTGCAATATCAGGAATATATAATAACATGACAGTTTTGCTTAAATAGATTGAAATAAATAGTTTCACATCTTTCAAGTTGGCCAAAAACTGAGACTTAAAAAAAGTAAACCTTTGAGCTAAATATGCTTTAGTGTTGGAAAATGTTTTATTTGCCTTTTCACATTACATTCCGAACATCAAGGTATATATATTTTTAATCCTATTTTGCTTTTAAAATCCAATCTTCTTTTGTAAAGTACTTTTTAAGAACTGAACTTCCTGTAGGTGGTAGAAGACTGAATTAGGAAAAGAATCTTTACATTTCCTTTTTTTAAATAGAATTATGAATTGGAATTTCTTGTGACCAAACTATCTCCAGACTCAAAACAAGAAGTTTCACAAAGGAAAGGAAGATAATGGATTCACTTTATAGCTTTATTTCATGACCAAAAAGGGAAATATATGTCTTTTTTTACCTAGTCTTATATGGTTAGGACTTAACTCCTAATAATGCAGAGTGGAAGGGTGGAAGAGGAACAAAATCTCCAAAAATCTGAGACCTGGACTATCTAAAATTAAATTTTATTCTGAATTGTTTATAGGAACCTGATAAGGAGAATGGGAAGTGACTATGAGTTATATATATATATTTTTTTGAGTCGGAGTCTCACTGTCACCCAAGCTGGAGTGCAGCAGCACACTCACAGCCACCACACACTTGTCCTGCTGGGCCAAGGTGATCCTTCTGCCTCAGCCTTCCAAGTAGCCAGAACTACAGGCATGCGTCACCATGTCCAGCTAATTTTTTGATTTATTGTAGAGATGAGGTCTCGCCAAGTTGCTCAGCTAGACTCAAACCCTAGGCTCAGGCAATCCTCTCACCTCAGCCTCCCAAAGTGCTGGGATTACATGCTTGAGCCACCATGACCGGCCATGAGTTATATTAAGAAAAGAAA